AATGTACAACGTTTCGACAAGGTTTTGTCATCATCAGCTACAAACTATTCTGATACTCATAGTGTCAGGGAAGACAGCTAGTCAACAGAACAAACAACCAACTCTTGAGCTACTCTCGCCTGATCGAATAGTGGAATTTGACCGTCACTCTTATAGCGCACTCACGGCCCCAAAGTGCGGAGTACGATTTTTTGCTAACGAGTCATGAATAATGTATCCTTGAATTCACAGTCTGGTCGCACTAACCACATAGCCACACCCGCCCTGTAATAAAGTAGAATAATGTAAAATAAGTATTATATATAGAGTCCATGTGCTATTATTAAATAAATAAAAAGAGACCAAACAGCATGGTTTACTAAGTACATCGATACCTTGAAAGCAACTTACACGTACATATCCTATAGGTGGAGTCCCCTGGTGGAAAAGCGGGTTGTTTACGGAATGACAACGCTACAATCCGGGGTTCGATTCCCCGCGATGGACACAGCAGATAATCCAATGTGGCATTACTCTAAAACACACCTACAGGTGGAAATACGTTATCCTTGTAATAAACACAAATTCAATTGGGAATTTAGCCAAAATAGAAAAAGAAAATGTAGAACATGCTAGTAATTTAACTCGACCAATCACGTATCTAACCGGATGTCAAATGTGAAATAGTTCAGCATTTCCGGTTTATTGTTTATTATCGAGGAAGAAACTAGAGCTGAATTTATATTTCTCATTAAAAAAACTACATATTAGGCTTGAAGATAAGATAGATAGAAATCTGCTTACATAAATCTTACTTCAAAAATCAACAAAATTGTTTCAGTAAAATGCGCGTCTATGTAAAGAATAACAGAAACTATTATTTTAATAGGAGCGAATTAAATACAAAGGTGGCTTAAACTTTTATGCATTAAATGTCTTACGTTTTCTTTGAATGTATCTTATAACTGGTTTTGTTATTCAAATTCAAATGCCCCTGGTGGCTCAGCGGTAAGCACATATAACCCATTTTTGCCCTTAACAACAACAACAACAAAAATCAAAAATATATATCACTATTTTATGGTATTTCAAGGTACTCCAAAATAAATTGTTTAGGAACATTATACCCGAAAGTTCTAGAATAGCTAAACAGAATGCATCTAAGCGTATTCCGCTAGAAATAAAGAGACGGAGCACAAGATCTTAAATAAAGAAAGTATTTATAAAATCAACAACAAAAACATGTTTACTTCAGAAACCAAGACATTGAACAACGACAAAAACACCCGTTCTTTGCAGCTAGACTAACTGTATAAGGCTGATGGGTGGACACGAGTGGAGGCAAAGCAAGATCTGGGACAATGATCAAGTGAATTTTACGAGGGAAGTAACTTCCCAAAGAACCATATTCAATCATAAGGTACATCAGAACTTCCCAAAATGCCATGTCTCTCACGTCACCAGGCAAACTCATTACTGAAAAAGAAAAACTAGGACTTACACCTTCTTCATCTTCGCTTGATCAGCATACTGGACATACCGTTGAGACTCACTACAGTAGTTATCCAGAACACAGGCCAAGTTACAAGATAGACAAGTGCTGTGTGTATTCCTATTAACATGGACACATAATCTCTAAGGGAAACATTAGCATAGCTAGACAAGTTCTGTGTATATTCCTATTAACATGGACAGGCAATCTCTAAGGGAAAAATTAGCATAGCTCCTGAACTTTATTAGTGTGTGCAAAGTGACATATTCATTAACTGTAAAGGTGGTCAGTATGTAACAATAAATACATCTAGGGTGATCTGGCTATATCTAATATCTGGAAATGTTAGCTAGCTTCATCCTGATAGGTTATGTGAAAATCCATCTTCATGTTGAACGAACATTCATTAACTGGTTATATAAGCTGGAGAATTCATTATTTCGGTTAACAGCTGAAATTAAATATTAATAGACTAGAACTTCAAGTTGCTTTTTTGTGATTGAAGAACCAATTCTGTTGTAATTGTTATCACAAAAGATGAATAACATCAGAAATAATTTTGGTAAATTCCTGAATGAAATGCTCTTCCGTACTTAGTTACTTCATTACTCTCAGAACGAGTTAGTTTTAATTGCAAAAAAGCATTGTAAGACTGGTTTAGAGATAATATTGTTAGCCCAAAGTTGTTAGTATCAGCTGGTTTTTATCAACTACAAGTGCTCTTCTGTTGTGTTTTTTACATTTGATATATAAAACTGGTTTAGGGTTAGAGACATTTTTGCTTTTCTAGATATGCTAGAAAGCGTTAGGGTTCGTAGTTGAAAGTTGAGTTCTATTGGGTATTGTTACTCCAGTACTTTAAGAATTTATTAGGGTTACTAGGTGAATATTGAGTTTTATTGTGGATTGTTACTCCAGTACCCTAAGAATTTGTTAGGGTTACTAGGTGAAAATTGAGTTCTATTGTGTATCATTACTCCACTACTTTAAAAATTAGTTATGGTTACTAGGTGAAAATTGAGTTCTTTTGTGTATTATTACTCCAGTATTTTAAGAATTAGTTAGGGTTACTAGGTGAAAGTTTGGTTCTATTGTGTATCATTACTCCACTACTTTAAAAATTAGTTATGGTTACTAGGTGAAAATTGAGTTCTTTTGTGTATTATTACTCCAGTATTTTAAGAATTAGTTAGGGTTACTAGGTGAAAGTTTGGTGCTATTGTGTATGTTTACTCCAGTACCCTAAGAATTAGCTGAAAGTACGATCCTGATACGTTTTCCCAATATTGTTATTCCATAACTAAAATAAGCTATTTTCTGTGATGGTTTCCAAGATGGGTTGTATTCTAGTTCCTGACTGAATAGTTAAGTTTTGGTAATGTTATTCTTTCCCGATGAAATGAGCTATTAGGAGTAGCTAAATTGAATATTTTTATGTACCGCAATTATATATGTGTTCAAATAAATTAGGATTAGGAGGTAAAAAAAAAGGTTTTTTCATGCATATTTTTATATGGCTGGTAGCTTAGGACGGTCCCTTTATATATTGGTTTCCGGTAATGTAAACATGAGTTTAGTATGGTAGCTGAATAAACAGTCCTGTTGTGTATTGTTACTCCAGTAATGCTAATATGAGTTAGGCTTAGCAGCTTAAAGTAGAGTCCTATTATGTATTGTTAATCTAGTTAGATAAGAATTAGTTAGAAGAATTAATATCTGATTTTGCATTGTTTTACACCCAAACTGTGAGACTGTATTTAAACTAGTAGCTATGCTTTGTTATTTTAAAGCTGCAAGAATGATATAAATTAGTAACCAAAAGTAAGGTTGTTTGGTTAAATGTTATATTATTAACTTACCCAAGTTTTTGTTTGGTCTTGTTGTTAGTTGCTTTTATTCCAGGACTATCTTAACAATTGAAATGAAATGACCTGTCGCAGATAGTTATTTCAAAAGTTGAAGAATAAGTAAGCTAAAATGACGTTCCTGAGTTAGGTGTGGTAGCAGAAAGTACGATCTTTTTCTGTTATCAACCAAAGACTTTAAGAATAAATTATGAGTGTTTGGTAGCTGAAAGGAATAATGAGAGCGTTATGTATGTTTGATAGCTGAAAGGACTGATTTGATATATATTGTGAAGAAATATATCTGCTGTGTAATATTACTCCAGGAGAATAAAAATAAGTTTAGAGTTAGCACCTGAAAGAAATGTAAGTTTGTTTGTTTGTAGTTAAGCACAAAGCTACATATTGGGCTATCTGTGCTCTGCCCACCACAGGTATCGAAATCTGGTTTCTAGCGTTGTAAGTCCTCAGACATGCCACTGTGTCACTGGGGTGGGGGTGGGGGTGGATGGAAATGTAAGAATGAGTTAGATTGTTATTTTTAATATTATAAAGAAATGTTTGTTTGTTTGTTCAATTTCTCGCACACCTACTCGAGGGCTATTTGCGCTAGGCGACTCTAATTGTGAAATGACAAACTAGAAGGAAGGCAACGAACCAACACCACCCACCGCCAACTCTTGGGCCACCTTTCACCAACGAATAGAGGGGTTGGATATCACATTATAAAGCCTTCCTGGCTGAAAGAGCGAGATTTTTCGGTGAGGGTTTTGACATTCTCAGATTGCGAGTCGAGCGCCCTAACCACCCAGAAGGGACTGTAAAAAATTGATTTGGATTTAGGATTAATATTTGAAAGAATGGTCCTAATGTGTATCGTGAAGCGCTGGGTACATTACCCCAGGACTATAATAATGAGTTAGGGTTAGTATTTGAAGATACTATAGGAATGAGTTAGTATCTGAAAAGACGTACTTATATATATAGTTACTCCATGTTTGCAAAAAAATAATAAAAATATTCAAAGAAAATTTAATCTTCTGCCAAATGCGATACAACAATGAAGCTGAACATATATAACACCGTCGCACGTAATACATATGTACAACGTTTATGCAGTGTTCGTTGTTTCATAGTACATATATAACCCGGAAAACAATGTGTTTATTCAGTTAAAGTGTTCCAGTTATTAATTTCATGCCAAATAGCTACGCTTATTCTGCACAACGACCTGTCCTGCACCTGTCTTGTCTGCTGTTGTTACTGTAACCTGTTCTCACAACGCAAGCTACCCGTGCCATCCACCTGTTACTCGTACTGAAATACTATACTTCGGTCAAAGATCCGTTTAAAATTCTTCGTTCGATGCTATTGGTTGACGAGCGCTCAACCGGCTCTCACGCAGTGCGCAATAATAAATGTGACGTATATCATCATCTCCGAAGGAAAGAATTTTGTGTTCAAAATATTGTTATATTGAAGTGAAAATTATATTTTCGTTCTAATTTATTAAATACACTTTTACACTCTTATATAGTTTTATTTAAAAGAACAAAAGAATCTTAGCAATGCTTATTTTTGTCGAACTACTTTTATTAGCGCCATTGTTATTTGGTCTTGTTCCGTTTCCTGTTTCCTTGCAAGTCGCTTGAAGTCACGACTGTCGAGATCGTATTGGACTTCAAGCTAGCGACAGTGAAAGAGGAAAACGCGTGTGTTAAAGTGTTCCTGAGTGAATCGATAATTCTCTGGACTTGACCCGGCCACGGACCCTGGAAATAGAAAATGGAAGGTGTAGAACTGGACAGATCTCTCTATGACCTCGGTGAGACTGACCTTAAGGACTTCTGGGGCTCAGAGTCATTAGACTCGGTAAGTCAGAAATGCACAGTGTGTATTTTCCAAAATCCACTTCTTTCGTAAAAACAAACGTATTGTAACTTATTGTGAATTATAAAAGATAAAGATATTTAACGTTTTGTTCCTACAATGTTCTACTTGTTACTAGTAAGGCGTTTATTTTTTCAGGAAGTTCTTGCCACTAAATCAATGGTATAAGCAATAAAACATCGTGCAAGTTATGTAAAAGTACTTTCATAACCAAATCCAGTTATTGAATACATATAAATCATTAATAGCCTTATCCTAACTAAACTGTCATTCAGTTTCAGAAAGAGCTTTTTTTTTTCTTTTTCAGATAGTATAGTCAAAATAGCCCATGATTAACATTGAGATAGCTATAGATAATTCAGTAGTTGTTTTCAATGTATATATATATATATACATTTCAGTAGAAATCTGGCTTCATTGAAAGAGACACTGCCACATCTGGAAACTAACTTACAACACTAGTACCCAGTAGTAGTATGACCATATGTTGGGCCTTGCTGTAGGAGTTGATTGTGTGGGTGTTTACGACGAGTATACAATCTATAACGTGTTTATAAAATTATCCAAGCCAGTCTAGGGAAGATAGAGGTAGAGAAAGCGGAAGTCAGCTTACTCCAACTTTGCTGGGAACTGTATAGAGTAGTGTATATGTACGTCTGTAGGGTGGTAAATATTTTATCGCGTTTAACATCACCACACACGATACTTTTTAGGAAAATAGCTGCGCTCAAACTCTGTAACTTTTAAGGACTCTCTGTATTGTGCTGATACAAAAGATGTTAACATATTAAAACCTCTTGAGCTTCACTCGTGCATTGGTTAGGAAAAACCCCCCGTGTCGTGCTCGAAGCCTTCTCGGCAAATATGACCTTCTCATGAGCAGGAAAAGGCCACTATGGCTCTATATGTTTAATTTTTACGTTTTGTTCTTAAGCAACAATAATCAAATTATTTAATAATTACTTCTGATCAGAACGAGCAAACTAACTACTTGGATCAAAAATTAAAATCAACCCAATTATGATTATCGCTAATTAAATATACTGTTCTTATGTTTGTACTTACAATGATTAGAGTGCATTCTTTCGTTAGTTGAGTATCCTTACATTTAACGACATTTTCGGCCGTAATTCCAATAATATATGGTGAGGTTCGGCCAGCTTTAGAGATTTAGGTTAATTCTAAATCCATAAACTAATCTAACAATGCAAAATAATGTCTATAATGAAAAGAAATAATAATGAGAATACGTATAACCAATATTGTAAATTTTCTGTTTTGTTTGTTGTAAAGCACAACGCTATACAATTTGCTATCTGTGATCTGTTCACTGCGGGTATCAAAACTCGATTTCTAGCATTATAAGCCCACTGACTTACCGCTGAAACATCGGGAGTGGGCTACAGTTAACGGTTTGGTTTGTTATGAATTTCGCGCAAAGCTACACGAGGGCTATCTGCGATAGCCGTCCCTAATTTAGCAGTGTAAGACTAGAGGGATGGCAACTAGTCATCACCACCCACCGCCAACTCTTGAACTACTCTTTTACCAACGAAAAATGGGATTGATGTCACATTATAACGCCCCCACGGCTGAAAGGGCGAGCATGTTTGGTGTGACGGGGATTCGAACCCGCGACCCTCAGATTACGATGATCCTAATAACCGCTTAGGGCTTCAATAAGGACCAAGGGTAGAGCACGAATTCAGTGCGTAAGGAGGCTTAGGGTTATGATAAAAAACAACAACAATGTCTTGGATATAATCTATTTTCACACGAAGATAATTATTGTTTTTATTTTAAAAAAAAGATAAAATGTTGTGAGTTTTCTTTTTTTAAAAAAATTGAAACACGTTTTCTTTAGGTTTGTAAAAAAAAAACTTGACAGTGTTTTAGAATTTTAATAATGCTTTAAAATAGATATTAAGAAACAGGACACTTTAAGCGGTGATGCCCCCCCAGTGGCACAGCAGTATGTCTGCTGACTTACAACGTCAGAATCCGGGTTTCCATACCCGTGGTGGGCTGAGCACATATAGCCCATTGTGTAGCTTTGTGCTTAAACTAAAAAAAAATTAAGCGGTGATATATATATATATATATATGCAAGTTTATTGGATGAAAGGGTGTGATATCATTGGCTGATTAAAAATTGTTGTGTGTGAATATTGAGTAATATTCTAGGATTGAAAGTAAGTTGAAACTCATCAAACACCACATGTTAAACAATATTTCAAACATATTTCTTCTCTCCTTTTATATTTTCATTGTATTCACGTAATTCGGTTTTTATATTTTTATCTACCAAATATGTATTTTCAATTCGGAAAGGAGGCGAATCTTACCTGTTGATTTGGTTAAAGCTGGATGATAACACTTTAAAAATGCCTTTGATATTGATCAGAATCTCTTTGAATTTGTACTCTGATATGTACGCTGATCACAGACACTGATATAAATAAATATTTAGCTATTTCTCCGAGGAATGGGGTCGGAATTTCCAAAACTTGCTGGGCGAGTTTCAGGTGAGCTGTTCGTCGGCCGGTGAAGCCGGTAGTGGATGCTGACCTTGACCGTTTTACACCCCCCTAGGGACAACATTAATTTAAAAGAAAAGCTTTCTTCTAAACAATCAACCAATCACCTGCTTAACTTGAAATTATTTACTTTCTTTTGGGATCACGTGACAAATACGTGAATGCGTTAGAGTTTAGAAATACTGTTGGGATTAATAAGAATTAGAAATATTGCGTGAACGCCGTAATTCATACTGTTGGGATTAATTAGTATTAAAAATATTGCGTAAACGACGGTTTTCATGCTGTTGGGATTAATTAGAATTAGAAATATTATATGAACGACGGTTTCATACTTTTGGGATTAATTAGAATTAGAAATATTGCGTAAGCGTCGTAATTCATACTGTTGGGATTAATTAGAATTATAAATATTATATGAACGACGGTTTTCGTGCTGTTGGGATTAATTAGAAGCCCAATGACACAGCGGTATGTCTGCGGACTTACAACGCTAGAATCCGAGTTTCGATACCCGTTGTGGGCAGAGCACAGATAGCCCATTGTGTAGCTTTGTGCTTAATTACAAACAAACAAATTAATTAGAATTAGAAATATTACATAAACGACGGTTTTTCATGCTGTTGGGATTAATTATAAGTCACTGTTTTTGGATGAATATTATATGAAACTGAGGCTTTCGAATATTTGAGACAATTAAGGTTCACCTTATAATTTCTATCACATTATAGTATTAAGAAAATAAAGTTGTTGTTTTTTATAACAAGATAAAAAAATGAGCGAAAAGTTGTATAAATAGACATATCACGATTTACTAAACTAACTGGGCAAGGAATCTGATTACCGCTTTGAGCTTTGGCACGAACTTGGGGCAGAGCTCGAGTTGAGGGTATAGGGTTTGTTTGTTTTGTTGTTAGCACAAAGCTACGCAATGGGCTATCTGTGCTCTGCCCACCATGGGTACCGAAACCCAGTTTTTAGCGTTATAAGCCTTCATTCAGATTTACTTCTGAGCCACTTGGTGGGGTGGGGGCAAAAGAGGGTATAGATAGCTGTATGGCTATAATAAAAAACGCTATCTTCGAGATCGTCTATTTTCACCTGAAGATAGTTATTGTTTGTGAAAAAAGTAGATGTTTTGAGGTAAATATTAAAAATTTGGACTGCGTTTTCGTTACGTCTTGTTACACCACAGATGAAACGAAATAGAAGCCATTAGAGGTCATTTACCCGAATAGCCAGTGGTCAACTGACCATAGGTCAATGAACAGATCTGCAGTCTGCCTTGTTTTTGTCATTAGTTCCAGAACAGTGAAGATTCATAATCGACAAAGAATCTGTCAAGCATAAACTTTCGTGATCTAGCCTGAGGGAGTCATCATTTTATCTCAGTAGAAACATACTGGTGCAACTATACACAATATACGGGGAGGGGGGGACAGAGTCTGAATTAACCTCAACCCCTTCACCGTTTTATTATTATTGTTATTGCCAAGTGTATTGGCACTAACTACTAGCATTAAATGTTTTTTCGAGCTTACACTCACTCACGTATGTGCATATAGCTGCACAAATATTTGTATATATATATATATATATTCATATGTGCGTATGAGTTTATTTTCTGAATTTTTCCAAGATCTTTCGTTCTCTCACTATGTTCGTTTTTACTCTTTTTTTTATTGTTGTTTGCAAATTTTCTTATGTAATAGAAAGTGATAATATTAGTCCAGAAAAAAAAAAACGCATAAAATTAGCTCACCTGTTTATAAAAACCACACCCACACCTGCTTCCTGTTGTCATGAGCGGATTTTATTTCGAATTATTCAGTAGTTTCCAAATAATTAAATAGGAAACTTAAGTCATCTACCTTTTTATTGTTATTTTTACTGCAATGCTGATTGGATCTCTTAGTTTCTTTTCTGGTATTTTAACCCACGTGTTCTTTCCTCGTAATCTTCAGATTAAGTATATTTTTGAATCAGTTCAGGAGACGAATTACATCGTTAATTATCCGTTTTGTGGATTAAAGCGTAAACCATCTAGTAAAACGCGTACATCCTTCTGAATGAAACTGTTAACTTTCGATTAGGATAACCCTACTTCCAATTGAAGGCGGAAGTTCGTAGCTGGAAATAACAGACGTACATCTGTAGAGAATAAACTCAAGATTTACAAAAACATACATCAGACTCGTATTTGAATACTTCAGAACATTCTGGATAAATGTTGCCAAATCAAACTTCTCAAAATTACAAACCATTCCCTCTTTGAGCAGCCTACAAGATAACCAGTATGAGATTCTAACAAATTTAAGCAAAACCTTTTGATGTTGTCGGACAGTGTTCTGAAATATTTAGTAACATTTCAAGAAAAAACTAAATAAAAACGCTCTCTTAAGTGACCTAAATAGCTATATCGTACGTGACATAAATAGTGCTAAC